GGAGTCTTTGTTGAGGCTTAAGTGGGGCTGCTGTCAATCTATCGAGTAATGGGCTTATGTCGGTGTTAGGAAGGTATTTCACGCGTCCGGTTGGACTAAAGTTGATGCCAAGGTATCTCCAGTTTTCCGCCCTGGGGGCCGATCCTCGAGCAGGGAGACACCGCTCCTCGGGAGCAAAGTAGGCGTGGTTCTCTTCAAAAATCGTGAAGCTGCTGCTCTGACCCAGTAGAACAGGAAAAAGTTAGGAGAAGGGAAGCGATTTAATAAGAATTTATAGGTTAGGGGATTTGTTTTCTTCGAAATTAAATAAATACCACACAACACAACAAATTTGATGATAATCAGCTTAGGTCAATTTTGAAGAGCTCTGCATAAATTAAAATTATTCTGTGTGTTTAGACGAATAAATTATTGAATTTTTCGCCTTTTCTCTTGACCAAAAACTCTTTTTATCTAGGTAGGTAGTATTAAATACAATAATTTTACCTGGACTTTTAATTTCTAGTTTCTACAGAATTAATAAATATCCCATTATTTCTATTTAGCATAGAAATGGGTTTAAAAATCCTAATTTCATTAGTTAGGTACCTACCTAAATGCGGTAAACATTACACTCTGTGCTTGAACCTTCTACCTAGGTATTCTAAATTATCAGTCTTGAAAAAGAGAGTGAAGTCTTCAGTTCACTATCAGATCAGTAACAGTGTTGAGTGTTTTTAATCTTTGCAATAAAATGGAAGATCTAGACGAGTATTTAGTTGCTAATGCAGTACTTGAAAATTTAAATGTGGCAGAAGAAATGGCCAATAATGAAAGAAGACATAATTATCCAAGAAACCAAGCATTTGAAGAATTATCAGACCAGCAGTTTATTAAGATGTTTCGGTAAGATAAAAATTTGTTTTTTACATGTCTATGTGGAAGGCTAGCTATATTTTAACTTTGGTATAAGTAGGTATTCTATTTTGTGTCAAAAAAACTAGGGCTTATGTAAATAGTTAAGCGAAGCCTAATTGGGTAAGTAATTTCACAAACAGATTTCATTTAAAAATTAATTTTTGAAGCCGCACTCAGACCTAGAAATAAATTATAATGACAATACTAAATAGTACCGATAATAGTATACCATCAAATCAAATCGCAATAAAATGCTTTATTGTATAAAGAGCTTAAATACCCTTATGTACAAAGCTGAAAATAATAAATACATATAAGAACAGTATAAACTCAGTGGTCATAGACTCGCCAAATTGAAAAAAAAAAACATCAAAAACAGCTAAAATTCCTTAAAATATAAATACAATTTAAAAAGCTTAAAAAAAAAACAGACATTACTTTACCATCCAAAAAAAATGTACCTACCTTGGTTTTATAGTTTTTTTTATAAATGATTTGTATTATGCTTCTAGAATTATTTAAGATTTAACATAACTATTTCTAGGTTAAGTAAGGAACTCACAAGAGAAGTGATTGAAATTGTTACCCCATATGTTGAGCCACCCTCGAGACCATCAGACTTCTCCATTGAAGCAAAGGTAGGTTATTGAACATAGTTCAATTATTCATATATTTTAAATTAATGGTCATTTGAAGGTACTTGCTGTATTAAATTTCTATGCCACAGGAAGTTACCAGAATCCTGTGGGAAGGAATTTATTTATCTCAATGGCTCAATCAAGCGTGAGCAGGAGTCTTGAAGAAATTACAAATGCATTAAACAATCCACAAATAATGGATAATTGGATAAGATTTCCCCAAACTCTGGAGGAAATGAGGTCATTGAGAACTAGGTAAGATTGTGAAAACCATTTCATGTATGTCCACCAACATCCTAGTTTTCATGCCTATTATTTTTTTATTTGCAGATTTTACCAGAAATTTCAAGTTCTAGGGGTTATTGGGTGCATTGATTGCACTCATGTTGCAATTGTTTCACCACAGGGTGATCCAGAACATCCTGAACACATATATGTGAATAGGAAAAATTATCATTCACTGAATGTGCAGTTGGTATGAAAGTAATGCTTTAAATTTATCTATATGCCTTGATTATTTCATTTCACAGGTATGTGATGAGAATCTTCGAATTATGCATATAAATTCGAGGTATCCTGGCAGTACTCATGATGCATATATTTGGAGACAATCCAATGTGTCTGGATTGATGGAACAGGTCTACAGAAGAAATCCAAATGATCCATACTATTTAATAGGTGATTCAGGTGAGACTTATTGTGGAATTTTTTTAGAAAACAATCCAAGTAGAAATTTTCTCGTTTTAGGCTATCCTTTAAGACCATGGCTGATGACACCATTGAGAGAACCAATTCAACCAGGTCGTGAGGAAAGGTACCAAAATGCCTTCAAGACAGCAAGAAATTGTATAGAAAGATGCAATGGTGTCTTTAAGGCCCGTTTTAGATGTTTATTGAAAGATAAAACACTTCACTATCACCCCGTAAAATCTGCAAAAATAATTAAAGCTTGTGCAGTTTTACACAATATGTGTATAGCTAGAGGGGTGCCTGAAGTTGACCTAGATATGGACAATATTGAATTAGAAGGCGTTTTTGATGGGCCAGCACCACATGATAATGCTCAAAATGAGGATCTTCAAAGAGCAAGAGTATTGCAGAGGAATATTATTGAAACACATTTTAATTAATATAATCAACAGCATTATTTATTCAATAAATCTCTCCAATTTTGTGTGTATACTTGTTTTATTTTTATTATTGTTACTCCACAAATTGCCACAGAATCAATGAAAATAAAATAGAAGATGTGCTGTATTGGTGTATAATGGAAAAAACCTCACATTACATCTGTGTATTTTTTGTTTACTTTTGCCTGCATAAATACAGGTAGAAATACGCGAAAAAATAAAAAGATAGAATGCAGACTCAACAAAGTTAAAGAAATATAGAGCATCACATGTAGGTACTCAATCATTAAACAAATATAAATATAATTATAATAATTTTATAGGAACATGTGTTACAAAATCTCAGGTACTAAACTATAATTTAACACTAAATAAATATATCTTTTTTGTTTTAACTTATAATAGGTATACCAATAACGAGAACAACTAAGGATTAAGAAAACAATGTTATATAACTTAACAGCTAACGGCTATTTGCAAGGCTATAACTTAACAGATATTTATTCTAGATAAAGCTTTGAATGTGACTCTTGTAGAAACAAAAGTCACATTCAAAGCTCCACTGAGCTTAACATCCCCTAAGTTATAGCTGTAAGACCCTAAACCTATATATCACTAATTATGTTATAGGAACAATGTTACAAGACATCAGGAACTGAACTAAAATTTTGCATTGAATAAATACATAAAGTCTGTTTTTTTTTTTAAAGATAATTCCCCAAGTAAAAAATTTAGTAACTATGTTGGCAACACAAGCCTTTTCTACATGAAAAAATTGAAACCATTGACAATTTTACATTGTATTGCCAACATATTGTCATTTTGAGTTTTATCCTAAAAAAAAAACAGACTATATGTCCTACGGTGGGTTCTAACAGCCATTTAATTTAAAAATTTTATCTTACATGGCAGACTTTTTAAATTCAAATTATATTAAATCCTAAATTGAATGGCTGTTAGAACCCACCTATTTTTGTTTAAACTAACAACAGGTATATCAACAACCAAGAACTAAACAACATTATATAACTTACTACTATGGCCCTAAATTTATACAGGGTGAGTTGTTAGGAGCGCGGTGGTCCATATGTCCTATACTAATGGAGATCGAAGAAAAAACTAAATACAAAACTTCTAGATGGACATGAGTACTACATTCCTAAATTATTTTCCAGTATACAGGGTGGCCCAATAAGTAGTGGTGTTTAAATGACTCTTCCTGTATATTATGACATTTCTAGATTCTGTGGAAAATTGTACACATATTTCATGCACAATGTCATATACCTATCTTCAACTGTTTCGGAAATATTAACAATTTAAAATTTACTTTTTTGCATATTTGAAATACTGTAAAACCTAAACGGTTGATTTTACAGCAAAAACGATTCTACATTCTTATCCTAGATTTTCGTAAGCTATCATTTGACATTAACTTTGGATTTAGGCAGAATTTTTAATCATGGATTAAATTCAAAGTTGGTGTCAAATGATAGTTTATGAAAAACTAAGACTAGAAAGTATAATTTATTTTATGGATCACGACCGTTAATAATTGATATTTTTCGAATAACTGGGAAACAGTCAGTATTATAGATTTATTGCTCTTTTACAATGGCCAAGCTTTCGAAGCCTTTTGCTTCTTCTTCAGGGCTATAATAATATAATATAAAATAAATAAAAAATTAATATAATATAAATTAGAAATTAAATAAAAATTTTCATAAACTTTTTTTAAAACATACCTTGTAAGTGAGTCTATCGATTTCTCTGTTTTTTTTTAAGTTTTTTCATTTATGATATAATATAGATTTTTATAAAAAGTTTTTAATATAAATGTATAATGGAAATTATTTCAAAAAATGTAAAATATGGTATAATTTTTTTGAAAATTTAGATTTGTGTTTGATAGACTTGACAATACAATGAAGGTAATCTTTGAAGGTAATAAACCGGTATTGATTAATATAAATTAGGAATTTTTTTTATCCAGAGATAACAAATAGGAATATATTATGCTCAAATTACTAATCATACTAGAAAGTATGATCGGTTTTACTGTAAACTTAACTGTTCAGGTTTTACACTCTGTGAAAGATGCAAAAAAGTCAATTTTCAACTGTCAATATTTCCGAAACAGTTGAAGATACGTATATGACATTGTACATGAGATATGTCTAGAATTTTCCGTAGAATCCAAAAATGTTATAATATACAGGGGGAGTCACTTAAAAAAACATAACTTTATGTCACCACTACTCGAGCCTCTACTTATTGGGCCACCCTGTATACTGGAAAATATACTCCTGGACAAAATTATTGCACCACTACTTATGGTGGTGCTTATGTGCAGTGGTGCGATAATTTTGTCGAGGAGTATAATTTAGGAATGTAGTTCTCATGTTTATCTACAAGTTTTCTATTAGGTTTTTCTTTGATCTCCGTTAGTATAGGATATATGGACCACTGCGTGCTTAGTAACCCACCCTGTATATGGCTAATCAAATAATTATGTTATAGGAATAAATATGTACAATGGGTTATTAACAACTACAGACTAAAAAACAACTAATATCTAACATTATCAAACTGCATTGTCTCTAACTCCCTCCAAGAAAGCCGCTTTCATCTCCCTAACTTCAACCAGTATTTCCTGAAATACTTTTATTTTTTCTCCTTCCATATCTAATTTTTTTTTTCTGTATATTTCCAAATTTTGAATTTTTTTTTCATAATACTGGTTCATCATATCAGTTCTTTGATCCATTGACTTCACCAGGTTACCACTAGCCTCTTCAGATTTCTCAAAACGCCTTGTTGCAATGGGCTTTTTTTTCTCTGGTGATGAATGGAGCTTTGGCATATGAAAATATTTTTTCGGATTATCATTCTCTTTGTTTATATTTCTATTGGATGTGTAGGGCTCGGTTGAGGGGGTTTGAGAGGGAGTCTCGGAGGGAGTCTCTGAGGGAGTCATGATTTCAATATCATTTATTCCGGCGGGAGTTTCCCTTACTTTAATGGGAGGTGCATTGGAAAGTTCCAAGGGGACTTCCTCAGTAATTTGTTGGAATTGATCATGAATTTCCACCACTGTCACTATCCTTGATGGGTTGGGGCTATGGGTCTCAGGAAGATTATTTATTTGAAGTATTTCTTCTGCTTCATCATTATTATTGTCCTACAAAGAGAAAAAAAGTTGTTATACCAAGCTTGAAAAAAAAATCTTCACAATCATCATATATACAGGGTGTCCACTTAGTGCGATATCGGACGATATCTCCTTAGAGGGTGATGCAAGAAAAAAAAAATTAAATTACAAAGTTGTTTGATACTCTAATATGCATTAGTTAAAAATATTTTTGGATATACAGGGTGCTCCGTTTATGGCTTGGTTTATGGGGTATGCGACAGAACTTTGTTATTTTGAATAGAACACCCTGTATGTGATTGAATAGTTGGATTCTACGTAAAATTCTGAGCAGATTTCATGTGATATACCCTATACCTAAGTTCAACTGTTTTAAAAATATTGACAGTTGAAAATTGACATTTTGCAACTTTGACAGGCTGTAAAACCTAAATGGTTAATTTTAGACGAAAACCGATTTTACATTCCTATCTTAGATTTTTATGAACTATCATTTGACACCAATTTTGAATTTAATCCATGATTGGTGTCAAATGATAGTTTATGAAAATCTGAGATAGGAATGTAGAATCGGTTTTCGTCTAAAATTAACCGTTCAGGTTTTACAGCTTGTCAAAGTTGCAAAAAGTCAATTTTCAACTGTAAATATTTCCAAAACAGTTGAACTTAGGTATAGGACAGTTGAACTTAGGTATAGGGTATTACATGAAATCTGCTCACAATTTTACGTAAAATCCAAATATGCAATAACATACAGGGTGTTCTATTTGAAATAACAAAGTTGTATCGCATACCTCATAAACGAAGCAGCCTGTATATTCAAAAATATTTTTAACTAATGCATATTAGAGTATCAAACAACTTTGTTTTTTAAATTTTTTTTCTTGCATCACCCTGTAAGAAGATATTGTCCGATATCGCACTAAGTGGACCCTGTATAAACTAGAACTGAATAAAACCCAAAGCGACCATAACGACTTACAAAATCAAATACGAGAGGGGTTTCTGAAACATTTTTTATACCACTCTGCATCACAGTGCCAATGATCTCCAATATATCTTTCTCGATATTGGTCATTTGTTTGTCTTCCGGCATTGGTGGCCCTCCTCCAGTTCCTTGCTGGTATTTATTGATGTTTGCAGCTTTGTTTTTTGTGTTTTTTTTTAGGTCAGTCCATGTCTAAAAATTTATGCTTGCTTAACTAAAACTATCCCAAATCTTGATTGGATGTTGAAATGAAATTCACTTATTTTATTGAAGCAAAACTATAAAATTTTTAAATATCTTACCTTACGCCATTGCATCCACGTCTTTTTTGAGCCGCCCGCTACACTATTAAGGGAGGTTGCCAGTTCTTCCCAAAGCATTTGAGCTTTTTTAAAACTAAAATCTTTCCCAAATTTTTGGCTGGCTAAATTGGGATGATTTTTTACAAAATCCAACAACATTCCCTTTTGTACCCCATTAATGGGTTTTAATTTTTGTTTATCCATTTTTATGGTCCAGCTATAATGAAATTAATTAGCAATAATTGTCTATAAGAGGAATCATCTAATAGAATAAATAATTGGGTTCCTATTTACTCACCTTTGCTTATGAAAAAAAAAAAACACTTCCTCCAGATAATACGTAATTATTACTATATTTTTATTGAACCACTTGAGTATATTTTAAATATTTGAAAATAACAACAACATAAAAGAATAATCACAACAATCACAAATCAAAACAATAAGTGTCGGGTTATGTTTCCACTCTTCAAAACGAAAACGTCTCTTTCTTCTTTTTGTGTGCATTTCATAAGGCGAAATGCGCAAAATTGCTGGCAACACTGTCACATTTTGTTCTACATGGAGAACCTTTCCCATGTTTCAAGAATACCAAAAAGGAAGCGACCGGGAAACCATGCGATGGGAGTAATATCTACTCTCTCAAGAAATTGTTCCCTTCTATCAAGCTCGAGGATCGGCGGCCTGGTGAGATATGGCACATATCGTATTCTTACCTTGAACTGTCGCTCCTCCACAATCGTATACTTCTGCTTTGGCTGCCCCTTAATGCTTACGGTGATGCATTTATCTGGATTGGGAAATAGCCCGCAGGCTTCCAGGAAGTCCGTAATAGTATTTAGCATGTCTTGGAGTCCAGCCGAAGTAGACGCCATCAAAATTAGATCGTCTGCAAAGGCGAGGGCATTGATTCTCGTAGTGTCAATTGTAGCCCCGGTTTCTTTAGGAAGCTTCCGTAGTAAGCTATCAATGATCATATTGAATAGCAGGGGGGATAGTGGGTCCCCCTGCTTGACACCTCGTTCAGGATGGACTGGCTCTGACATCCATCCCTCGCCTTTTATTTGAGTGGAGGAGTCGCAGTAGTAGCGTCGTAGGTGTTGAATGGCTGGTTGCGGCAGTCCGTAAGACCGGAGAGTTCCGAAGATGGCCTCATGAGATACGGAGTCGAAGGCCTTTCTGACGTCTAGTGAGGCCATGTAACATGAGGCAAATTTCTTGTGTATGTCTCTAAGGATTAAATCCAGCAGGATAGTATTATCTGCACATCTGTCAGATGGTATAAAGGCTCTCTGTCTCGGGTCTAAGTTAATAACATGGTTAAACCGAGACGCTAATATCGAATGTAGTTGTCTCGTGAGCACAGATGGGACTGTTAATGGCCTTTTTGGGTATGAAAGTTGTAGTGGCCTTTCTTTGCTCCAAAGGCAGCCTCCCGCACCAAAGAATCAGGTTCAATATTCTCACTCTGATAGAAATTGGGGTTGCGTTCAGCTGCCTTGGCGTGATTCCATCCGGCCCAGGGGCCTTCTGTAGTGGAATTTTTGCCTTTTCGATCTCAAGTGGCGTTATTGGTGCCCAAACATTTTCTACTATCTGCTGGATTGCCTCGTCTGGGGGCGTTACATGGGACCTCGACTCCATCACATTCCACCAAAATGGTTCCATCAGTTCCTTGGCAGGCATCCTCGCCTCGCTTGGACCATCAAGGATGGTTTGGACACACCTCGACTAATGCTTACGCCAGTTAATCTGTGTCTTGGCATATTCGATGCGCCTCCTCTTCCTCTTTGAGATATTAGCGGTGTGTGGGTGTGCAGCTTTGGCGTTAGATCTAATTGCTCTCGTTGGAAACATTTTGCCCAAAAGTAGAGTAAGGCTTGCAAGTATCTCATCTTTACCCCTCACGAAAGCTTGTTCAACAATATCAGATAACTCGTGGCTGTGGTAGGAATCATTATCTGGCCTTGTCAGGTTCATCAGGTATCTATCTGATGATCTCGTCGGTGTTATCAGCAGCCACGGCATCGTCCTCATTTTCGGAGGATGGTCTCCACCATCCTCCGAAAATGAGGGGGGCGAGCCATCCAGGTTGTTCGGCGCTTCGCTAGAGTTAGAATCGTCATTGCTGCTCTCAGCATGCGAGGAGGAAGAGGGGAGGGTGGTGGTCTATTGAGGCCTTTTGCGGGCGGGGATTGCCTGAGCTTACGGAGTCTTTCAACCACTTGCCTTTTGTATTCAAGTCGTGTACGCATATTCTTGATCGACTCAAGCGTTCTGGCGTTGTAAAAGGCGAAGAGCGCTTGGTTCATAAACCGTGTTTCGCCTTCATATACGAGGCGCGCTTCTTCGCTCACCAGTCTAGAGATTTCGTCGGGTGTCCACCTGGCGTTTTTGGGTATAGTGACGCCAGATGGTCGTCAGGAGCAGAGGGTTTTTGCGATTTGCCCTTGTTTGTCGTTGGTTTTACGTTCGGTGTCTGTATGTCCTTTAGGTAGTTTTGGACAGCGTCCTTGTAAGCCGCTTGCTGCCTGACCTTCTTAATGGCTTCTTGCGTCCTGTGTGGAAATGCCTCGAGTAGTGCCAGGTTATAGAAACGAGTTTTGCCCTCCAATATCAGGTGCGCCTCCTTCCTTGCAACAAGGGCCACTTCTTCGCTATTCCATCTTGCCTTCTTGATGGTTCGGTTTCTTGCCTTGTCGTGTTCCACAGGGTGCGCTGACTTGGTGTGAACACCGAGCCCTGTTTTCGTATCAAAAACTCTGTTGCAGCAGGTGCATTTATACGCAGCATGGTCGTCATTGCTTGCGGCATGTTGGGAGGATGAGTTCCTCAGTTTTCCGAGGCTTATTTGTCGTTTTTGGGCCAACATGAAGAGGGTCGAAGGGGTTGGCAGCCCCAGGGACCCAAAAGCCATACTAGATCTTAGCCTCCATCCTATTCTAGGATGGAGTTACCAGCGGTCGCCATGAGGCGGCGTCTAGTATGACACGTCTGCGGTTCAGGCTGCTGATGTTGTTGCATGTTCTGAACCACGGTTTGTAACTATGACTTTTTGGAAAACAAGTCAAGGGACGTCTTTTCCGAGAAATGAAAAAGGCGAACGTAAGTGGTTACGTTCCACTCGTCGTTCGCCCTTGTGAGAGTTCAAACTAGTAGCAGTGTGGTTTATTGATCTTGTGGTATCGTTTCATTTCCAGGCTGGTGGACATCAGCCTTTCCAGTCGGAGAGAGAGTCATAGTTACTCCCGCCGTTTACCCGCGCTTGATTAAATTTCTTTACCTTGACATTCAGAGCACTGGGCAGAAATCACATTGCGTCAACATCACGTTAAAATATAAATGTAATTATTAGGATCTACCGAGGGGACACAACTGTAGTGGTGCCAGTCACCAAAAACCACTACACTTTGTCTACGAGAGTATGCAGCTCGCAGCCTCCCGCACCTTATTGCATTTTATCTTGGTGGCTCTTGTGAGGGTTTTCCAATTGAACTCACCCTAGCTCAATTGGTAGAATTTTGATCCAGTATCCTGAAGGACATGGATTAAAAAGATTTTTTTATACTAATAAGTTTAATTTTATATCTTGAAATCCTTGGATTTAATTAATAAACTTCGGTCCTGATCAGGCCAAGCGGCCAAGGGTTATATTGTACTGTTACATTGCACAGGGTGCAATGAATTGTTAGGGATAATTTCAGCTATTTTTTAGATATAAGGATTTAGGGAAAATTTCAGCTTTTTAGGTTTAAGAATTTAACGAGGGATATATATTTTTTACAATCGCTTTAAAAAAACATCAAAGCTTCAATTTAATAAACAAAAATGAGTGTAGACAGTTGTTACAATTATTTTTGGACTACCTCTTTTTCAGATTTCTTTATGCATTTTTTTGATAAAGTTCAATTGAGGATTTGGAACTTAAAATTTAAATCTTCTGGCGCCCACTATAGACACTCCTTACTCACCCTGATATTGCTCTCTGGAGAACAGCTGCCACTGTAGTACCCTTTTTGTTAAAAAAAGAGGCTACACCAGAGTGTGAGGCTGCACTTTATACACAGAACCCTCCACAGTTGTCACCTACAGCAGGGCACTGTGAATATACCTAGTGACAGCAAGGTAACCTTAGTCAAAGAGGCCTTATTGTCAAAAAACTACCGAGAGGTTATTCCCATTACAAAAGGGAATCCTTATCATAATGGAATTTAGAACTAAATTCGTTCTTGATAGCAGATAGCGCTTTTAGTCACAGTTCATCTTATTTTCGGTTTTATCAATTTCATCCGCTACTTGAATCAAGAATTTGGCCTTCAATCGCAATTTGAGGCTGTTTGGCAAACACTGCATAGATTCCAATATGCCTAATAGAAAGTGATGGTAAGCACTTTTCAAAGTTTCATCGCTTTTCATTACGTTTTCAATATTTTGCCCTATGTTTGTGCAAGTATTCACTAATGCCTCTAAAGAGTCTTTATTCTTTCTTCTCTTTGGTGGGGCATTGTCCTTTTTGATTATTTTTTTTTGGCAATGCATGAGGTACTGCAAACATTTCAGGAACTTTTTTTTTCAGGTTTTGATGGACCAGAAAGCAGTGAGGGCGAAAATTCTGATGTGTCGATGGTTATAATGTCAACTTCAGAATCGTAGAATTATTATCTACAGAATCCTGAATAGAATCAAATGGTTCTAACTGGGATTTAGTCTGATTGTTGTCATCCTCATATTCAACTTGTGAAAATAAGTTCAAATTAAAGTTAGCTGGTGTTTTTTTGGTGATATTTGTGTTATTGGTTCAACTTTTTTTCCAATTATCGGTGACATTTCAGATTCTTCAGTTTTGAAATTGCTGCGAATCCTAAATTTATAAACAATAAGTGTATATAAAATAAAAACCATACTAATAAACTTTGGTTAATTTGAATACGGAACAGGTAATCGGTGTACCTGAATGCTTTTCAGAAATACACTGTGATATCTGCTATTTTTGTATCTAGGTATGTGTACATTTAGATAGGGTTCCTAGCAAACTCTGTGTATGGTCAAATTTTACAGGTCATAGCAAAAAGTTTTTACACTTATAACCTGTTCCATAAACAAACAAAAATTACCACTGCATTTTCAAAAACTTACATTCTAGATTGGATGACTTGGTCTAAAAACCCTAGTCTATCATAAAGAATCTAGGTATTCTTAATTCCGCCTAAACCTAAGGGAATATTTTTCATAGTTGTCCTCTTTCTAAATATTTCGATCGGAGATACTCCCAGGAATCCCTGCATTCTTTTACTAAAAAAGTTAATAGAAGAATATATTATACATTTTCATAGAAATTCTTACCAGCTTTCTCGATATACTGGCAATGCTTTGCCAAGAGTTTTCTCTGGCCAAAGCATTACTATATTGGGGATCCTTTTTCAGCCATAAATTGGGGAAAGTCTCGACCAAATCTATGAGTGTTGCTTGCTCTTCAGTATTCATGTTTTAATAGAATATACTTACTGTTTTTTTTTTTTTAAATACGTCTCGGTTTCCAACCCAAAACAAAACAAACCACATACCTAACCAAACACAAGAAAAAACAAAACAAATACAAAATGGACCCTTTGTTCTTTTTGAACGTCGACAGCTGATCTAAAGCGCATGCGCATTTTGTATTTTTCCTATTCCTTAATTCCCTAATTCGTTAAAGCTGGAAAGTTGCCATCTTTCAAGGTCGTTCTTAAAAAATAAGAATGAGAAATAAGGAATTGGATAAACGACGTCATTTATTGACACGCTGTTAACTTGTTATGAATTAAGCACTAAGAAATAAGAATTAGAAATTAAGAATTAAGGAGATGGGTAACAGCGGCCTAAATAGGAAGATTATAAATATTTATACATATAACGTAATGTATAACGGAATAAAATAAGAAACTTTGATACTGATATAATCAACTTACAAAAAATATATAAACCTGGAAAAAGAGAAATGTCTAATTAATATTGAATTCTAAATTGAAACATTCAAAAACTATAAATTTTTAAAAATTGTCGATTTTGGGTTTTCTTCATTTTGCCTTTGGAACCTTAATTCCATATTTGGGAATTTCAGGGTATAATAAATCCTCACCTGGGGCCCAATTCTTCATTCACCGAAAACGATGGTGAATGTTACAAATTTCGGTGAAAACGTTTATTTGTTATTGTAATTGTCAATAATTATTGACTATTTTGTCAGAGTACTCTGATTTTGTATTTTGAATCTATCATTGCATTACATTATAAAGAATGGAAAACGAGTTATTGGTAATAAATTTAATTGAAATTGAAGACATCTTGATAGATGATGCAGCGGTTGGCGGGGGAAATAGAATAATGAGATATAGACGAGAAAATCCTTTTGAGATACGAAGTGATTTTTTATTCAAAAAATTATTTAGGTTGACCAAACCTCTTGTTCGCCTTCTTTTGGAAATTTTAGATCCTTTTCTAGAAGCTCCAACAAGAATATCAGCGTTGGATAAAACTACAAAAGTAAGTTTAATTTTTTTATTCTATATCACTTCAATTTCTGAAACATCAATGCGGTGAACATTTTGATTTTAGGTTCTTGTTGCTCTGCATTTTTATGCTACAGGCTCTTACCAAATGGATATTGGCTACAATATTTTCAGTGGCGTTAGCCAGCCATCAGTAAGTCGATACATTGAAGAGGTTACCGAAGCTATTAATAGGCCAGAAGTTTTTAACCAATGGGTACGGTTTCCTAACAACATGGAAGAACCATAGACATAAAACCAAGGATAGACAGAACTACTCATTCATAAATCGCGTTTTAGGCCGATCAGTCATTGAAATTCAGGAAATTTGATAAAACCTATTTTGGCAACGTCGCTCTGTCCTCAAGCGCGTCAAAATGATCACGTGGTTTCGGAATTTATAAACCAGCCATAGGCGTAGGTGATTTTTAATTGGATTTAAAAAAGGACCACGCACGGATCTTATGAGAAAAAGTAAATTTCACGATTGTCATGAAATTGAACTATGTTATGCTTCTTGACCTCCTAAACGTAAGTTCTCGTAGGCCCAAAAAGATTCTGTGATTGGTTTCAAAGATACAGGACCGATAAAAAAAAAGTAGTACAAGAAAAATCTCCAGAATCTGCTGGTACATTAATTTAATTTATAACTAAAAATGACATATTTTTGGCATTTTTCGACAAATTTTTAACCTTCGAAGCTTCAGATGACATTACTTTGGCATTTTTCCACCCATTTTTAACCTAGAATATGTTATTGCCTGAACTCAACATATTTTAAAATGTTTATTTTTTGTCAAAATTTTGTATGTTAACCCAGCCTGTATCTCCGAAACTAATCATAGGATCGTTTTGGGCCTACAAGAACTTACGTTTAGGAGGTCGAGAAGCATAACATAGTTCAATTTCATAACAAATTTATTTTTTCTCATAAGCTCCGTGCGTGGTCCTTTTATCTGTAATGTATTGAAATGAATAGTTGATTTTAGAGGCTCGTCTTTCAGCCAAATCTAATCTATCAAGCCGACTAAAATCGACTTTAAAAATCAACATAAAAATATACATGTATCATAACTCTAAGGTATTTGGGATGATAGATAAAACAACTGTGATTAGATATTTCCATTTATTACAAATAAGGGTAGGTACATGATTTCTTAATGAATTACAAATTTAATAATTATAAAACTAATATAAAAAAAAAAAAATTAAATGATTTTCGAGTCATAGGATTAAAAAAGATTTTATTCTCCCCGAAAATGTATTGTTTTAGTATTTACACTTCTGGTTCTATTGCTTCTCATAGAATCTAATCTTTTGCTGGTTTCATGAAATATTCTTATTTTGAAATAATGTTTTAAAATTAACTTTGATAGTATAAATGAATGGTTATCCATTGTATCTATTTCAAATAAATGGTCCTCAAAAGCATTAAACATTTTAGGAGATAAATCTTGCATAGTCTTATTAATCAAAACAGCATACAAGTTGAGATTATTTTTATTAAGTATACCAGAAGTTTTATCAAAATCTCTGAATTGTTTTTCTGCTGCCTTACAAAGATCCACAGCAAACTGACTAGCCTGAAATAGTCTTCCATAGGATTTTCTTTTTTGAAAAGGTGTGGGCGAATCTTCAGATAGCAAAATATTATGACATTTAGAGCATGTTATACATTTTTCTAAACTTCTTACGACAAATCCCGATATGTAACTAACAATGTCTTCTACATATGTAGTTAAATGCCATACCTGTGAGCCTAACAGTTTATTTTGACCGATTTCGTTTTGAATTTTTTCTTGGAACAATTTATATTCGGCAGATTTCAGCAAGTTTTCCCCGTCAACAGTATTAGTAATTTTATTTCCCGAGCCACAAGTTAATATTGTTATTTTTTGTAAATTCAAGCAATTGCCAGTATTAGGTGCTGAAATTTGACTATGAACAAGAAGTCTCTTAAAACTACTCTCAAACTACCTTGCAGTAGGGTTGTCATTATGACCTCCTCTACTTCTTATGGCTCCAAAAAAAAGTTCAAGATGATCTTGGGACAACTTGTATGTAAGAATATATTTCAATGATTTTTTTTGTTCTACATAATATAGATACATTTTCCGAATACTTTCTATATCAATTAGAATTCCTAAAAAGCCCGTTTTCCTACGAGAATTTAAAACTGACACATTATTTAGTTTTAGTCCAAGAATATAATCCTTAAAATTGATCATATAATTAAAAAACTCTTCACAAGTTCGCTGGGAAATAGGCTTTTTGAAGTAGTACTTTGCTAGATTGTTTTGAGAGTTGAAAATGTCAAAAATATTATTGCATAATAATATAAATTCTGAGGTAGCCTCAGAATTCAAAAATAGTGGATCTTTCAAATCCTCACGTAAGTAGTCAATGGCGACACTAACACTTCTACTCAATGTTTGTGCTGCCAATCTCACCCTCATTTTTTCTTTATACCATTCTAAATGCCGTTTCTGGATTTTTGTTGCCAAATGCAGCCCCTCTCCTTTCTGTTTGGTGTCTAAGTTTCTTATAAAATGCCAATCGATTTTTTGGCCATTGGCATTTGTTAAACCAACTTCATTTTCCTTTATGGAGGCAAAACAGTTGCGAATTAATTTAAGCATGTGGCATGCATCTAGAAAAACAAATATAGGTTCTTCCGTAATTGGATGGTTGAAATTGGTTTTTAGATTTGATGTATTGTGGAAATCACATCCTAATTTTTCTGCCATACTTATATTCACTGGTGCACCATCAAATGTTAAAGACGTAATGGTAACATTTGCTTCATGCAAAAATTTTATACAGTTTTTGACTAGTTCCGCTTTAGCAGAGGACTCAAGACCATTGAGAAGAAAATAACCAACAGGTACTTTCCAAGAATCGTTTACGGCAACAACCATAAAAACTAGTGCTTCCTTGGCTTCAGGAAGGGTATCGCCATCAACATTGGCTCCGATGTCAACATAGCCTGTAAATTTTTGGCCAGTCCACTCCACCTGACGTCTTATGGACATTTCATCCATAACTAGATTACATAAAATCGGTTTGGAAGAGTCAAAAGCCCTTAACCTTATTGCCGTCAAGGCTTCCTCAGTAAATCCAGGTTTTCCGTCAATAGATTTATACCACCTTGAAATTACATTGATGTGAGGTATGGACTTATTAAATGTATCTCTCACAAAGTTGTATGCTCTTGCAGAGTAGAAAGCCAGTGTTATTGCAAACGACCTCAGACTTTCATTGTATTGTTGAGTTGTCGGTCCTTTCAACATCCTTTCAAATATATCAGCTGCTGGGCCAGATACAGAAGCCTAAAAGAAACAAATTGAATTCTATTCTGTCCATTTTTCAGTTCACCATAGAATTTGAAGCAAAGGAAAACAATACTCATTTTCGTATACAGTATGTGGTTATTTAAGTGTGCAACATATGGGATTTTTTTTTTAGTAATAGCACAATCAAAATACAAACAAGGCCAAAAGTTGGTGTATGTTTGATTATCATATTAGGTTCACTTAGAATGATTGCAAGTCAAACAGCATACAGGGTAGCTGGAAAAATATCAAAATTGTAGCAATATTTACTTAAATAAAATAAAACTTTTGCACTTTAAGGAGAGTTTTTTCAATATGCCTATTATCATTAGTAATGTTTTAACTTGTTAAAAAAAATGCAACATCTTAAAATTGTTTTGAATATCATTGCAACAAACATAAACTTTGTGATTCCATAAAAAATTAAAAATCTAAGTATTTTACAAATAAACTTGAATTTGAACAAAGTTATGTAAAATTGATTTGATTTCAATTAATTTTTGAGTATTAAGAGTGGAAAAAAAAAAAATGTTTAGGAGGCCATGTTTTGGTAGTTAGGCATAACTTTTAATTTCAAACAACTTTTCTCAATAACATTTTGCTGAATTTTCTAAAATAAGGTTAC